TAGGTGGCCCTCTGTAAGGGGTCTGGGCCTCGAATTTGCAGGTGCAGGTGGTGCCTAACCTCTTCAGCTGTTAGTGCTGAGAGACCCCCAGTACACTGGGTATGCCTGTGAAGGAAAATACTTCTCGCAATGCAATAAAAATGAATTGTTAATATTTTACATACATGAAGAACAGATGTGAAACTCGCACCTTCTTTTTCCCTAATTTTATTCACACGCTGGAGCCCATGAATGAAAGAACAGCTCTTTGACTGGAACTTACCGTGCTGTATCATTTGCTAGAAATGGGCATCACACCATAGCTAGCATTGCTCCCCCTTCAGTAGGGTTGTGCCTTTCAGCAAAGCATTGAGTAGAGAAATGTCATCAGTTAGGTTATCTCATTCTCTCGTCACTTAGAAACATAGAGCCATAGAATCGTTAAGGTTGGAAAAGACCCTTAAGATCATCGAGTCCAACCATTAACCTATCACTGCCAAGTCCACCACTAAACCATGTCCCTAAGCACCACATCTACCCGTCTTTTAAATACCTCCAGGGATGGAGACTCAACCACTTCCCTGGGCAGCCTGTTCCAATCGTAAAATGTTACTTTTTCCTGTTAAGACTTTGCGCCCTAACAAGGTATGCACTGTAAGGTAAGGTGTGACGGTGGAGCTGTTACTGGCTTTGGCTCAACTATTACGAAGACGCTATATAATATGCCAGAAACATGGAAGAAGATCGATCTGCTATTGCCTTCTTACATATTAGAGAAACAACTACCATAGCTCCATGTGAAAATCACATTGTGTTGGAAATAGATTAACTGTAATCACCACGTACAGTATCTATTAAATGACACTGTTTCCTGCCTTCGTCATATCTGTGACACTTTCCTAGAGATAGAAACACAGCCATGTGTAGCTCTTTCCTTTTTTCAAATCAATTCCAAGTATCTCCTATGGTTCAAAAATCTAGAGAACCTGTTTTGTTTTCAAGAAATTACAAACTACAACTTGGGCTGTGCATTCAAAACATCCTTAGTGTAGGTTACATCAGAAAAGCCGCCGTTTAGCTTAGCTACTCAGTTCAGCCCCCAGAAAAAAAGGTATCTGGGTCTTAAACTAAGAGCTATACTTTTACTTCGAGAAGTTTTTCCCAAGACACGCAGCAGAGAGATGCCTGCTCAAGTGTGCAAGTGGGTCCATAGTCTGGGTCCCTCGCTTTAAGGTAGCAATTGTTCCACCGCCATTTCTCTAAAATAAAACCCATTGTTTCCAAAAAAAAAAAAATCCCCTAAAATGAAATGGAGGCTCATATACATATCCAGGAAGTTCACTGTTCTATACCAAACATTGTATTTTGTAGTAGGGGATTTTTTTGCCCTTTCATATTTATGCAATGCTCTCTTACATTTTTAGGAGCAAGGTGTGCCTGGCTGCCAGTTCTCCTTTCTCCTTCTCAGAAAGGGCTGAGATTCAGGGGTGGGGGTGAAGCTTCTGCTGCTTTCAGTACGAAACAGAAACAAGTAACAGCAACCCTAAAAGCTAACGCAGCCCCTCTCCCATTTTAACTGCTCCCCCTCATACCCAGCTATAGGCTTTGCCACATGAGGGAAGAGGAAAAAAACAACCCAACCCATAGAATATGCTACGCACATCTCCACAGGAGTCGCGCTGACTTTCAGAATGAAAAGGCAGCTTTCCTTAGCGAGCATGAAGATGTCCATTCTGCGGCTTCTGTTATTACTCTGCTAACATATGATCAAGCTACTTTTATCATCTTCTTCCACTCATCCTGTGTGGCATGAGTCTTTGCAACTATAGCGCGATCAGGTTTTTTTCAAAAGTCTGTTTAACTGTGACGAGGCAAGTTCACGGGCTGGCAAAATTTGGGTTCTTACGCAACGGAAGGATAGAAAAAAGCCCATAGTATTAAGCAATGAACACATGTTTGCAAGGAAGAGAATGATTTCTTCAGTTACTGGAAGTAATTTTTTAAGTGCCTCTAATTCACAATGCGACTTAAAAATCGTTCTAAAGGGTCTCAAGCTGGTACGTCAATAATTCTCAGTTTCTTCCTTGCACCAACAGCCTGAAGTTGGGAGAGAAGGTCTACAATTACCTTTTCTTCATGCTTTCCTTCTCTTTCCCGGACTAAAGATATGAATATATGCTTTGCATATCTACTAATGAAATCATCAATCTCTCTCAGAACTGCCAGAATAAATTTGATTTCTTCTTGCAGTAGAGAATCACCTTAGAATGTATGAAACTCATTTTTCATGGTTTTTATAGGAAAAATTATGGTAAGTCTATCTCAATATGCAACACATTTGATTTACTGTGGCAACAAATATTAGGAGGACTTTTTTTTTAGGCATTGTTTAATCTCCTTTCACCAACTCAGAATTTAGTCCAGCAGCTTTTAAACTAAACTTGACAATGCAGGAAACTACTCAGAGCTGCTGATTCAATGTACATCACTCTCCACTTTCAGTTTTTCTTATTAAATCTTTTATTCCATTTGTAGACATACATATGTGCAAAAAAGAAACCAACAAAAAAAACATGTACACATTTTTATCAAAAGCATTGGTGAGTGCTAAGAATATGCAGACGAAATGAAATACGCATTTTATTCTTCATTGTTTTATGCCCACATGCTGACCCTCGGAGGTTTAGGGTATTTCTCTAGAAATGCACAGTTCCATTGACTTGAATGGCAGTACCCACGGAGCAAACGACTTTGTCTTCTTGAGCAGCACCAAAGCAGCAGTCGTGGTGCCAGCTCAACACCCTCCTTTCTCCCACTTCAAGTATGAACATTGGGTTGTTGGAGAGGTCCTCAGGCAAGCATAATACTGACATCATCAGGACATCACTGAATATCAAAATATCTTCTAGTTTAGAAGACTGGCGTTCCTCACTCTTCCACGTTATCACAGACAGGTGCTTCAGTGAAAGAGACACTGAGTTTCTGAGAATAGTTATCCATTTAGCTTCTATTTGTGTAAAAAAGCCTGTCTGGCTAAGAAGTATTTCCCACTAGGATACGAAAGCTTGGAAGCTGAATTTATTTCTCTGTTTTGTTATATCAATATAAATAGTAAGAAATGTTTGGGTGTTTTTTCACATATAAAATTAGTGTGCAAAAGATCAGAAGGGAAAAGTTTCATTGCAATTGGTGCAGGAAGATGGCTATGTGCATCTCCCGAGGAAAAATCCCAAATACAAAATATTTGAAATGTTTAAATATATTTATTAAAATAGGTACAAATAGGATCAGCATTTTAAAAAAACCCACTAACTTCTGAAAAAATGTCCTGCATTAATTCAAAGGATAGCAATAGGTCACAGTGCATCAGGAAGCCACCTAGAAATATTATAGTTGGAAAACCTCCAGAAGCAGGAGCTATACTCACTCACCAGACCTCAGGAATACAAGTTTCACTGACAATGCTCAGCAGTTTCCAGGGCTGCAAATTTTCTATTCCCTCCTCATATTCCAAACCTACTGTGGGCAGACTCCCCTTACACAAAAGGAGAGATTACTTTTAAGCTTGAAAAGAGCACTGAAATGACATTAAAATGTTGTTTTCTTTCTTCTTCAGGTGTACTGAAGAAATACGTCTATTTTCTTTCCCAGGTGGAGATTTCCTAATAATGGGAGTAAAGCCGTGGGTTTTGTACACTGGTAAAATTGCATGTTAATAAATTTAATCCTTCATGTTATTTAAAATAGGTATTAAAAAAATCCATATTCAATCAATGCTTATAAAAAAATAAAAGTCTATTGACAGGATAATCCTTCCACTAAAACTGCTTGTGTGTATGTGCCAGCACAGGAGACCCTAAAATGCTTTCTCGACCCCCCAACTGTTGTCTTCTTATGGGTGCTTCTGCAGAAGGCCACTGCATGCATCTCTTCTGGCTGAAGTGTTAATTGGTAGAAAAATGTATTAGACACATAAAAGCATGGCAGTTTTGAAATTGAGAGTACGGACAGTGGCTCAAGTTAGAAGTCAGTGAGATGCCTCAGTGTTGCAGTGCTTCTAGCCACCTTGACAAAGTTGTGGGTGCTCAAAATGGAGGAGAGCATCACACAAACGGAGCAAAACGTGCATATTATCATTTAAGGTGCGGTTACATCTGTTAAGATTCATGGCAGGTGGAAATCAAGTTGAAAGAGAAACTCGTTCTGTGTCCTGCTCCTGCTAACAAGCTTAGTATTTTGTCAAATGAACAGAGCAAAAATCTGTTCAAGTATTTGCATCAAGCAGGCTCCAAACTAGTTAAAATTGAAACCTCCTGATTCTGGGGTGTATTGTGTCACCCCAGGCGGTAAGGCTGCACCGCCTGCAGACTCACTTGGACAAATAAGAATAAAGTTACTTCGTGGAATTTCTCATCTTCCCTAGGCTGAGTTATCGGCCCATCACTCATTCCTCTTTCTCGCCTATCTGAAAAAAGTATCACTGCAGATATGTTCTTGCACCTCTAGTTACAGCAACAAAGTACATTTCAATTAAAAATAGATTAAAAACAATTTTATCAACATTCCTAGGAGCTCTCAAACAGAACAGCCTTCAGCACGTTTAGGAAAAAGGCAATAAACAAAAGCAACTGCAAAATAGCACGACCACA